CAAAGAAAATATAAAGTTACTCATGTTCAACCTATAAATTATCAATTCTAATTTCTTGAAGAATCAAACGGTTACTTGTTGAGTTGTCCCCTGGAGATTAATTGTAATTTTTTCTGTCAGTGTTGCCAAAGTGAGACAGTACTAAATTAAATAAAAAAGGAAACGTGAAAGAATTTTTGAACTTGTAATCCCAGCAGTGTTGGTGAATTTCTGAAGCACTGAATGGCTATTTATCCAAAGTTTTGCAAAAGTAATGCATGGTTGTGACCCATTTGATATTTGATTCATAATATTAAAAAAATATATACAGCAGAGTATTTACAACTTTTGAGAATAAAGAAAAGACAGGATTTTGGTGCAAAAACCTGTGAAACACATGCATTTCAATTAATCTTGCAACCAATTTCATCACTGCAACAAAAAACTGAACAGTAAAACATGTATGCTGTGCTGTAAACATACAATTACAGGATCAAATGGATGCTATAACCCCTTATTGGGAAATATATTCAAGAAAGGCAAATCTCATCTTTGAATCATATTTTGTCATTTGCCAGGCTTTTCAACAATGGAATCCCATCAGCAGCCTTTGAAGCATGATGATGCAGAGCAGTCCAAAGAAGCTTTTTTCCCCAGTTTCCTGATGGTGCCCATCTTGAGACTGGTGCCCTGTGGTGGCAATTTCAGCTGTTGGGCTGTCCATGGTGGTGGACCCAGCAGTGGTGGAGGTGGTTGTTGCTGGGAATGCATCCTCACACACCACACCAGGCAGGCTACAAACTTGATCCTTGTGCTTTGTGTATAGGCAAATGATGAACCAATAATTGCTGAGTTTATGGTTGAACTGTCAGGAATGTAGTTTTTGGCAAGGGCTGCCAAGTAATTGACTCCATTTGTCCCGCATATACCACTAGCTATGGCTGATCCCCAGCCCACCTTTTTGTTTTGCAATTCAAAAAGAAGAAGCCAAATGAAATTAAAATGCATTCAAGATGAAAGAATATGATTAAGTCACCAGTGAACAATTGTTGGTAGACATGTCTGGACCAGCCAACAGACAGGAGACAGTGCTTGGGTCCAAAGCATTTTTATTGGTGTATCCATCAAATTTCCTGATGCTACTCAGGTTGGCAGTACGTACTTGCCTATCTGATGTACTTGCACTCCTTAGTTTGCCAGCTGGTGCTTGTACCCCAACCATATTACCAAATGAAGTCCAGGAAGCAGGATCAAGAAATTTGTAGAATGTCACAGCAATAGCCCTGCAAAATAAAGTAAAGAATTTGCATCAAACAAGCGCAGAAGTTGTGAAGGTAATGTTATTTCACAGTACAGTACACGCAATGTCAACTCTTATTGATGCAAAAATGTTTCTTTAAAATGTCAATTTAAAATTCTGGAGATGTCAACTCAATTTTCGAAAATTACTTGGCAATTGTCCCTGTGACTGCTCCCTTCATCATTGGGGATGCTGTCCAGCCCATCAGGGTGTCCACTACTGCACCAAGTCTGGTGGGCATGGACTTACAAGGATTGTATTCTCAGGCTCTTTCTATACAGGTCAGTGCCTTTCTAAATGAGCAGTATAAAATATCTTGAGTCCACAATTAGGACTGAAATTCTGTCATCAAGTGAAGACAAAACAAAAGACAGAACAAGTAAAATAACTGAACTATCCAAAGTTTTCCTGGGAGGTTCCCTAATATTAAAAAATGGTGTGAAGTAACTGTAAACCCCAAACCACTACATTTTTTTTCAATTCTAGAGAAATGCACTCTCCTGAGTATGAAGTGCTAGAACTTTTGATGGAAGATACAAAGCAAGATTTCCAATAAACTTTCCAGTTGTAGCAAAGCATGAGTTTCAAGAACTTCTTTGCACAAAAAAAAATGGTGCCTATGAAAGATTTCCAAAAAAATAATGAGATATGAAATGTCATTCAATGGCATTGGATTGTCCACTTAGATATAATCCTGACATTTTTCACAGTTCCAAAAAATTGATGAGAATAAATTTAAAACAGCTTGAGTTTTTGATAGATACAATACTTTAGTATTTTGAAAACATTTTTCTTTGAGTGGACATCTGAGGTTTAGTGCTGGGTTTCAGCAAGTTGATAGCTGCTTTTCAAGAAAAATATTTTTCATTGGTGTGAGCAAATACTGCATTTGAATGAAAGTTTTTTTTTTCTATCTCATGACCTAATTTTTGTTTGCAATAAAAATTGCCATTTCAAAACTCTGCATTCTTTCAAAGCATTTTGTTCTAATTTTCTAACATTTTTTAGAGTCAACTACTGACAATGAGGCCTTGAAATTAAATACCACTCTGACTGGAACAGCATGTCCATCAAGCATCAGTGGATTTCAGGGCACTTTGGACCCAAGCACTGTCTCCTGTCTGTTGGCTGGTCCAGACATGTCTACCAACAATTGTTCACTGGTGACTTAATCATATTCTTTCATCTTGAATGCATTTTAATTTCATTTGGCTTCTTCTTTTTGAATTGCAAAACAAAAAGGTGGGCTGGGGATCAGCCATAGCTAGTGGTATATGCGGGACAAATGGAGTCAATTACTTGGCAGCCCTTGCCAAAAAGTACATTCCTGACAGTTCAACCATAAACTCAACAATTATTGGTTCATCATATGCCTATACACAAAGCACAAGGATCAAGTTTGTAGCCTGCCTGGTGTGGTGTGTGAGGATGCATTCCCAGCAACAACCACCTCCACCACTGCTGGGTCCACCACCATGGACAGCCCAACAGCTGAAATTGCCACCACAGGGCACCAGTCTCAAGATGGGCACCATCAGGAAACTGGGGAAAAAAGCTTCTTTGGACTGCTCTGCATCATCATGCTTCAAAGGCTGCTGATGGGATTCCATTGTTGAAAAGCCTGGCAAATGACAAAATATGATTCAAAGATGAGATTTGCCTTTCTTGAATATATTTCCCAATAAGGGGTTATAGCATCCATTTGATCCTGTAATTGTATGTTTACAGCACAGCATACATGTTTTACTGTTCAGTTTTTTGTTGCAGTGATGAAATTGGTTGCAAGATTAATTGAAATGCATGTGTTTCACAGGTTTTTGCACCAAAATCCTGTCTTTTCTTTATTCTCAAAAGTTGTAAATACTCTGCTGTATATATTTTTTTAATATTATGAATCAAATATCAAATGGGTCACAACCATGCATTACTTTTGCAAAACTTTGGATAAATAGCCATTCAGTGCTTCAGAAATTCACCAACACTGCTGGGATTACAAGTTCAAAAATTCTTTCACGTTTCCTTTTTTATTTAATTTAGTACTGTCTCACTTTGGCAACACTGACAGAAAAAATTACAATTAATCTCCAGGGGACAACTCAACAAGTAACCGTTTGATTCTTCAAGAAATTAGAATTGATAATTTATAGGTTGAACATGAGTAACTTTATATTTTCTTTGCCTTTGGGGTGGGTTGAATCATTAATTTTGTGTGCATGATGCTGAACTAAATAAGTTTTTATTGGAACACCAAGCAAATGAAATATTGTGAATGCTCCAACCTGTATGTTTCAAAATTAATATAATAACAATTTGACCTGGATTTTTTAAAACTAAGTCAAAAACACGAGAGGATGAAATTGAAACTTTCGCTGGTCAAAATTGTAAAAAAAATCAGTGAAACATGTCATTAAGAATCAATTTTACGGTAGAAAAAAAGGAAGGCCCATTACATATTCATGAAAGAAAAATAAGGGTTCATGCAGTTTCAAACGTGGAAACTGTAGGGATTGCTCAACAACAACCATTTTTGGAATATTATTCCAATAAACTCTGATAAAATCACACAATAAATACAGAAATACGCCCTTTTTGGCGTACTGCATGCTAGCAGTGAGATATTTCGGGATTCTGTTTTGAGACATCAATAAGAGTAGACAAGTCAAGGCTTGTGAGATTCATTGATGGAAAGGGACAAAGTGTATAGCATTGGATTTACGTACAGACGTGGGAACGAAGAATCCGTTTGATTGCCGGTGCAGAGCAGAGAAGTGACACCTGCTCGCGACGTTTTAAACTCACGGGTGAATATTTTCAAACTCGGGTATTGGTGAAGTACCCGCTTTTTGGAACAATTACAGAGTACTGTATAATGGAGACCTGAAGAAGAAACTTGGGTGTAACCAATGATCACAGGATTTGATGATAAATCATTCAAAACATCAAATCTCAAATCCTGACAACTTTCTATCACACTCTTCAACCAGAAGCACTTATGTCACGCCAAGCCGGCAGAAATTGTTCAATAATGTAATTAAAGGAAATAAAGTTTTGAAAAAACGCAGTGACTGTATGCCAGTGCAAAGCCATAATATAACTTCAACATTTTTAGCACCTTTCTACATTGTGATTTTTATTGACATTATCAGATTTTTCAACGAAGAATTGCGACCTGCAGGGTGTCCGAAAAATTGCATGCTTTCTCCAATAGTGGAAAAAGGGAACAATATAATTTTGGGAAATGAGGTCAGGGACCCTTTGCATAGATTATTTATGGTTATAAAAATTTGAAGCATGGTATAGTTTTTGAATTACTTAAAACTTTTTCGTTGAATAAAATTCTGTGAACATTCTTAACTTATTTTACAGTGAGTTTTTATCATTGTTGGACAGGGAATGTCCTGAAATCCTTGCAGAAAAATATTCAGAACATCTTTGATCCCATTTCCAAAATTAAAGAAAGTCAGTTATTTGCGTGATTATAAAGCATCTCCAAATGACTTTCCTCAAACTTTATTCCACAACATTCATGGAAATTATCAAAAACTTTCTGATGAGTCCATTTAAAAATTAAAGTCAGACCCTCACAGGCTCTGCTGATGGGAGAAGATACAAAGAGAGAATAGAAAGAAGCAAGGGAAAGAATAATTATCAAGAATAAGCCAGCTTTTAACTACAGTATTTCAAAATATTTTGACAATAATACTCCTTCCATATATAGCTGATGGAGACAGCAGTGAGTATATGCTCCGCCCTAACATCTTGACAACATTTAAAGCCCCAGAGTTCTCCAGAAAATCAAATATATTATTCCTTGAATTGTTGATACATCTAAAAAAAATTGAGCTAGTATAATTGTATCCTGGCCATGAAGAATATTATAATTGTGCTCTGATCCTGTATATTTAAAAACATAACCAATTTTGTGGGTATATTTTCTTGGTTTTTATTTTCTTTCAACTGCATGTACGCAGTGTGTCAGTTTTGTTTTGTTTGGTCATTTGAAATTTTGCAAGGTTCCTCATTTGTTGATAATGCAGCTCTTATGTTTCAGAGTTGCTCTATTGAATAGAATCGCTCTTTGAGATTCAAAAAAGCGGTTCTGTGCCGAAGACATTTTTGTCTCGTTGTTGGGCGAAGGGAAACAAGATCAACAACGCGGAATGTTTTGATTTTCAGGTGTGAATGAAACTTTGATGTGAAATAGCGTTTGGTGATCTTCAATTGCGGTTTCCGAGAGAGCAGATTACTCGCCTTATTTCGGAGTGATAGTTTGGCAGGTTCGTTTATCCGAAAGCCATGATCCCTGTTCCCTAAAATACCTGTTGAATGATGAGAGCTGCTCCACGGAGCATCGAGCTCGAAAAGATGAGCATTTTGCGGATATGGGACTGAAAACTGTTCTTCAGTATGACGACAGTTTTTCTCTATCTACCCCATCTCAAGCAGTATTTATTTTTTTCAGGCCGGAATTCATGAATCGTGTGAAGATGTATCGCCCACGCATCAAGACATAGCGAACGTCGGATCGTTCTGTGCGAATCAGCTAATATTTCAGGTTTGTATAAATGAAATAGTGCGCTTGATTCGCTGTTGTTGCGTGATGAACGATGTGCTTACCAAAGCACTTAGCTCGAAGGTGTGAGCATTTTGCGGATATGGGACTGAAAAATCTTGCATTCAGGGACATTCTCCAAGATTTATGCCGGTGGTACTCAAGCCTTGTTCTATCCATTTCATCCAGGTTTTTGATTCCACTGAAGTTCATGCATTAATTGACAATGTCTTGACTGCGCATCCAAGCATAGTGGACGTTGAAGCGTATCTTGTGAATCAGCGAACTGGTCTGCGCCGAATTTTTTCAGGTTTGTACCAACTTCGCTCTCGAGTTGATTTTTACTTTTGTGATGAACATCGTGCTTACCAAAGCACTTAGCTCGAAGGTGTGAGCATTTTGCGGATATGGGGCTGAAATATCGTGCATTCAGGGCCATTCTCCAAGATTTATGCCGGTGGTACTCAAGCCTTGTTCTATCCATTTCATCCAGGTTTTTGATTCCACTGAAGTTCATGCATTAATTGAGAATTTCTTGACTGCGCATCCAAGCATAGTGGACGTTGAAGCGTATCTTGTGAATCAGCGAACTGGTCTGCGCCGAATTTTCTCAGGTTTGTACCAACTTCGCTCTCGAGTTGATTTTTACTTTTGTGATGAACATCGTGCTTACCAAAGCACTTAGCTCGAAGGTGTGAGCATTTTGCGGATATGGGTCTGAAATATCGTGCATTCAGGGCCATTCTCCAAGATTCATTCCGTTGGTATTCACGCCTTGTTCTTTCTGCTTCATCTAGGGCTTTCTGATTCCACTGAAGTTCAAGCAAAAATTGACAATGTCTCGACTTATTATCGAAGCGTAGTGGACGTCGAAGCGTTTCTAGTGGATTAGCGAACTCGTCTGCGCCGACTTTTTACAGGTATATACAATCTTTGCTTTTTCATTCGTTCTTATGTCTGTGATGAACGTTGTGCTTACCAAAGCACTCAGCTCGAAGATTTGAGCATTATGCGGATATGGGCCTGAAGCTCAAATTTTGAGCGACTGTATTGATATTAGCGTTTCCGATGTAAAATCCGATTTTTTTTTTCATTGTAGACTTCACAGACGTCGTTTGAAGTAGTCCAAGTATGTCGACTTGATTCGAAGAAAACAGTTTCTTTTCGGTACCGGGACCGTATTGGAAATAGTGTCAAGTTCATGCAAGCTGCAGAAAACCGTCGAGACTCTCGCCATCGGAAGATACCTCGTTGAGCTGCAGGAATAGTCGTTGAGAAAAGTATAAAAATATGACTGAAGTTCTGGATGATCGCACGGCGGACGTGGCTCCTCTGATCCGCGATGAAGATTCTCGCGATAGCACCGAACAAGAGCCAGATCTCAAAGTGGGGTGTGATTTTTGCTGTAACCCGAACCGAACATGTTACCGTTTCATTGCACTCTTTCTCATGTGCTTTATGGGATTTGGTGAGTTAGTGCTGAAGATGAAGGAATTCCGGAAAGAGTAACTTTTTTGTTTGTTATTCAAGGATCGTACTTCTGTTACGACAATCCCGGCGCTCTTCAGACTTACATTAAGGCTGACATGGGCGTGACAACTTCGGAATTTGCCAACCTGTACTCGTGGTATTCGTGGCCGAATGTGATCTTGTGTTTCGTCGGAGGCTACTTAGTGGACAGGTGTGTTTAATGCATTTATAGTTGTGTGGTTGAAAGTGTACACGGATTAAGCAATCTACGATCGGTACCTAGTGATAGATTTTTGTTTCCTGGTTGAACGCTTTTTTTTTACATCTTCTGCCGCTAATTTTATATCCAGTAAACCTGGAACCTAACTTTCTGAGTACAGTCGAACTTCAGGAGACCATCAAAAATATGCGAGCTCGAGAAACACGCATTTTTGTCGGGGGTAGAAAGAATTGCAGGAAATTTTTATTAGTGATACAGTACTGTAGACCTTAAACTGCTTGAAAAATAAGTTGACAGCATGCTAAACTCTTTGGCAAGCGCTCATTTGCCCAATTAGTTTTTCACTTCCTTTGAAAATGCTTCAGGTTACTTTTTTATTTCTATTTCCTGTGCAAATAAAGTATTGCGAAAATGCCTCCGGAAAATTCGAGTCATGAAGGTTTGAAGGGGAATGCTTTTGAGTTTGGGAAGTTACAAATTAATTGTCTCTAATGGAATTCGGACAGAGGCTTGAAAATTTTTGACATAGTGAGGTATTTGACTCAAGGAAGATCGAGTTATTGATTTTCAACTTTATCTATTCCTTAGCACATTCAACCGGATTCGCTTTACAAATATGAGTTGCTAAACTGGCTCAAAATTGCAGTTTAAGTTGACTGAGTAATGCGAAATTCTAGTTGAAGCCAGGAAGAAAAAATTCTAGCAGTGAATTTCGAGATTTGAACGAATATGTTTTACTTATGCTCAAGAAAACCAAACTTATCTCTAAGCCATTTTTTATTTCTCGTCAGTACAAGTGCAGGAATTCGTATCTGAGAGAATTGTTCTCCAAGTATGATTCATTTTTCTACGTATTTCAGCGTATTCGGAATCCGTTTCGGAACAGCATTGTTCGCGCTTATCGTCTTCGCAGGTCAGATCATCTTCGCCTTGGGCGGTCTACTGAACAAGTATTGGCTTATGGAAGCCGGAAGATTTGTTTTTGGGTGAGTATCACGCTGGAAACATTTTTGAGTTTATATCAAGTGTCTGGTTATTCTTTTTTTTTAATGTAGAATCGGAGGAGAATCGCTTGCTGTTGCACAAAACACCTACGCCGTCTCGTGGTTCATGGGGAAAGAATTAAACATGGTCTTCGGACTTCAAATGAGTTTTGCTCGGGTCGGATCTACCGTGAATTTCAACATGATGGTGCCATTGTACGACTACATCCATCAGTATTACAAGGGTTACCAATGCACTGGCATCGTGCTCATGATCGGTATGTTCCGTTTTATCGAAGCTCTCGTATGTGTTTTCATCCGACCAACTAGAATCGTCAAGTTTGCCTTTCAAGAGCCAAATTGGTGGAAGTCGTTGTGTAATGTGCATTATGAAGAGAAGCATCCTGAAATATATTTCTTGACCTATTTGTATTCAACTTATTTTTAAAGCCGCCGTGTTTTGCCTGCTGTCCTTCATTTGTGCCTCGGCTCTTGGCTGGTTGGATTATCGGTGAGTTATCTTACGTTGCTGTTAAGTACAGTACAGTATTATAAAAATCTTTACCGTATTTGCACTTATTTTTTAGTCGAGCGAAGTTGACAGGGAAGGCGGAAGCCGAAACCGGCGAAGTCATTCAACTCCGAGACATATTCGATTTTGGCGCTTCGTTCTGGCTCGCGACAGCCATTTGCGTTTCCTACTACGTCGCCATCTTCCCACTGATTGGGCTCGGGCAGATATTCTTCCAACGAAAATATGGCTTGAGTTCCAGTGCTGCCAATGCCGTTAATGGGATCGTGTACATCATAGCTGCCTTCGCCTCGCCGCTTTTTGGAATTATCATGGATAAGACCGGAAGGAATGTTCTTTGGTGTTTCATTGCGATCGTGTGTACGTTGGGGAGCTTTGCGGGCTTAACATTCACGTTTGTGAATCCATACATTCCTATGGTAAGATTTCGAATGTTTCTTTGAGAAATGTGAAAATTCCCGCGCTCCACGCGCACCTGCTTCAAAAAATAAATAAATTGAGCAACAAAAAAAGGGATGCACGTCATAGTCGGATAAAAATTTTCGAACATAATTTTTGGAAACTTTTCGCCTTAATTGAAATTTTTCAGACGTGCCCATTTTTATGAAGCTGTAGACCAGCCGGAAATATAAATAACAAGAAAAGAATTTTGCGTGTAAAATTCGCGCTTTTATTTTTATGTCCTCGCCAATTTTTCAAGGTTTCCGTGGGACTGAGCTATTCGCTGCTTGCAAGTGCCTTATGGCCGATGGTGGCGCTGTTACTCCCGGAACATCAACTCGGAACAGCTTACGGAATGTGAGTGATTGAATGAGTTTATTTATTTTTTCATTCATGAAGTTTATTCTGCAAATCTTGAATAGAATGCAGGCTGCTCAGAATCTGGGACTCGCTGTGATAACGATGTTAGCTGGATGGATCGTGGACACGAAGGGATATTTCGTATTGCTGACATTTTTTATTCTTTGTTTATCCGGTAAGAGATTTGACGATTTTTCGCGTGAATATGGGAAAGTTTATATTTTTTTCTGTGTGCTTTCAGTGAGTCTCATGGCAATTATCGTTCTCTGGGTGCTCGACTATACGCAGAATGGCTTGCTTAACTTGTCTATTGAAGCTCGTGAGGCGAGGCGGATTGAATCAATGTAAGTGGTGGATTATTTTCCGAATGTCGCCTTGATACGATGTTTTTTTCTAAGGTTCTAATGATGCACGTGTAAGAGCGTGTAACAGTAATGAAAGAATAATTTACCGAAGGCTTTCCAATAGTTTTTAAGATTCAGTCAGACTTTTCTAGGTTCCTAGAAAGTATGAACACCAGGGTGCCTATTATTCAAGTTTTTGTGTGAATAATCAGGGGGGGGGGTATATTTTGAATATCAAAAATATCAATATTGTTGCTTACACAATATTTGCGTAAATGTTGTACTACACAGCAAAGTACTGTACAGTATGTGCAATGGTGAAAGAGAAATTAGCAATGGGTGCTTTACCAGCATTTGAAGTCGAGCGACGAATGCCTTTTTGACACATTTGACTGGTGATTCAAGATTTTTTTCCGGGGATTTTCATGCATGTACCGTTTGTGCGGTTTGTCACATACAATGTTTCTCTCACACAGGTTGGCGAAACGAGACTCCATATCTTCGATGGATTCACGTACGAGGCAAGCGATGAGACTCAGTCAATCCGAATTCTCTCTTCGCAACAGGTTCCTGTCAAGAATCGGCGCTCAAGTCAGTATAGAATGTTTTTTTCCCCACCCCGAGTATGGTATTGAGCATGGAGTTGGATGTGGCCTTGCTGGGTATTTTCTTCTGGTGGAGTAATTTATTTAGTGGTTTGTATTGTGGCACCCTGGTGAAGGTACTGTAGTTGTGCGAGTATTCTTGAACTGTGGAAAAATGCATTTTACTTTTTTATGGAATCGCTGGGGGCAGTTGCAAAATCTATTTGGGAGCAAATTTTGCATGTATAGAATGGCGTAAATATTTGTCCAAGTTCTGTACAATTGGAGCAAGGCTTTTCAGCCTGTGGTACTTACGGCACTTGACAGATGGTGCCTCTAGAGGTGATGGTGTATGCGAAGATTCGCATGCTCATGCATTCCCAAGATCCACGTGAAGTTTGAAACGCCTGAATATTCTCGGATTTCCACTTGGCTCATGTGCATGCAAAGTTCAATCGGGTGTTGAACTTCTTCCTTTCTGCGAACCAGTAAAACTGATTCAACCATTATGTCGAAGTTTCAGGCTAAGAAATAAATTCTGAAAAATATGAGTTCGTTACTACTTTTACAGCCTTTACATTTCACATTTTATTTCAACCATTTGTACATTACTTAATGAAAGTTTGGTGATTTTGTCAGAAGATTCATGGTCAGTCATAAACAAAACAATAATAGCGTTAAATGGGGGTGAGAAAGCATGTTGTTGATTTTTGAAGTTGATGGTATGTTGCGCGCGTTTGAATGCCTGATGCATTGGTAAATTGCACGCAAATTCAATTATTGTGTTTGGTGTTATTCTAGTCGCACAAAACATTTTTGCCTCATATCACGTCATATTTTGTGAGTAATGAAAGTTGTCATTTCCAGCTGCCGCCGACCTACGACGTCCAAACAAGAGCATTGGCACACAGAAAGGCGATGCGATGAGGATCTTCCTGCAATTACTGAGGTAGAAGAACCACCGTTGTGTTGAATTCTGGGAGACGATATTTTATTCATTTTTATGCCATATTGTGGAAATGCTTTTTACTCGCTTTGTGAATCCTTGAGGAAAAGGAATGGGAGTTTTAGTTGGGAGCAAATTTTGCGTGGATAGAATAGTGAGAATATTTTTTCAAGTACAATGTTTAATGTACAGCCTTTTCAAGTTGAACCTCCCGAAGTCAAATTTATTTTCAATAATTGGTCAATGCATTTCAATTTGCCCTAACTAAAAATCTTTTTGGCTGTGATCTTCCATAGTTGAGTTTCCGTTGACCTTCTGCAATTACACCATTACAGGGTACATTTTAGAATGCAGGATCCAGGTTACAGTGATTCAAATGCAAATTGTAATGCTGGGCGAAAGATTTCGTAATTTGCAGTATCAATCCTAAGTGTATTTTTTCGCGGTGCCTTTAAATTTGACTGGAGGAGGTTAAAACTTTTTATCAAGAGGGGCGAAGAATTTCATTGATTCATTTGGCTGTGCGATGGAAAATAGGCATGGAATTTTCTTTGCTTGATATATGTGAAAAGTACCATATTTACGCTTGCTCAGGCCCCATTTTCCTCCTGAAAAAAAGTTCTGGCGCAGCCTCTTTACCGGAGTACAGTATTTTCTTTCGGCTTTAACCTATTAAGAAATTCCCATCACAATCACAGTAGTGTATCATGTAAGCCGGCACATAAACAAGAATCTTGTTGGGTTGGAAATGTGAACTTTGAACTTCTTGGGGGAATAATGACGAGAGATTTCGCAGGTGCCGTATTTTCAGTGAAGTTTTATTTCCTAAAAAAAATTCAGAACATTTTCCAGCCTGATCAGTTTTCCTTTCTGAAGTAGCTGCTTCAAATCTGGGTGGGACTGATGCGTGCGTAACTATGGTATCAAGTTTTAGTGCTGTGTTGAATTGTAATTCTGAATTCAGAAGTGAATCGTTTTCATTGTGAGTCTGAAATGAAGATTTTTAAGCTTCCTTCCGTCTCCAACTTTTTTTTATTTCACTGTTGAATGTTCAAAAGTTTTATGCTTTCCATGTGGGTTTCTTTCAGGCATAGTTTCTCCCTTGATCGGAAGATGCATTTTGTGGTGTGTGTAGGAATTCAAATGCACATGAGGGAAGGTGCATCAAGAGCAGCATTTCCCCCAGCTGAAATGTTTCAGGCTGCTGGTCATTCAGCTAATGACCAATGTAGAAAGAAGGTACTGTGTTGAAATGTTGCAGCAAATTATTGTATTTTCAGAAAGATATAATTTTTAAGGTCGTTCCAGTGTAATATTACATTGTATGTGATCTTAAATTGAGGCTAAATATTTCCTAACTTTTCATCATGTAAAAACTGATCGGACTAATGAATTGAGAGCTATACTCACTTCTGTAAACCTAATGTTATGTTGGCGAAATTGCTTTTTATTTGCTCATCTTTTTTTTTACAGTCCTCTTCAGATTTGCTAGAATTCTTGTCACACATTTTAATCTATCATAAGAACTACTTCAGTAATGTTCAAAAATAATGTATTCAAAGATGAAATCATGAATTCAGTTCTTTTTTTCAGGAACGTTGGTATCATTATTTTTTTTAAACCCTATAGCCATTCAGCGAACAAAATGGTACTCCGTGAAAACGTTCATGAATGCAAAATGGAGACGAAAGCGGTGCTAACATTTGAATA